CCTGATGTTAACCAAGGACCTCTTGTCAGAGACGTTCGGGTTCTCTGCTACAACACAGTTGTACAAGCTCTTAGCGTCTGTCACGTGGAGGTTGTGCAGACGGCTACCTACAGTAAAAGCGGGCTCGTTGTAAAGGAGCTCGGAGAGGCTCAGGTTCAAGAAGGTAGCACGGTCGGCGCCCTCGTCGGCGGCTGAGGCCTCGGCTGCTAGTGTGCTACGGCACACCCTGGTTGATCTCCCTGACTTCCAGTCCAGGAGACTCGCCTTGCAGGAGACTTCGGAAACCTGCGGGGGCGCGATCATGACCAAAACGCCGTACTGGCTCTTCAGCTGCTCGGTGTTGGCCCACGAGGAATCAGTGAACGTCACGATGGTGGTCGCTTTGTCCACTGGCACGTCCTGGTAGACGATCCCGTTCTCACGGGTGGCCTTCAGGAACTCGACGGTCTCGTAGAGTCGCTTCAGGTCCAGCACCGACGTGGCTTGTCCTCGTGTCGACAGGCTGACCACTGCAGACACTTCAGGGCGTGTCTGTGAAGCAAGCCACTGCAAAGAGCCTGCCACGCTTCGGAAGTCTTTCCACTCCTCGGTGGTGAGGGCTTCTCCTTCTCGAGACCTTCCCTTCGCCAGCTTGCCAGAGGCCATGCCGTCGATGAAGGCGGTCTGGGTGATCTTGTAGCGGAAGCGGCCCTCGAGGCTCACGAGGCTGATCTCCTTCCCGCGGTAGGTCCCGGGCTTGCCCTCGGAGACAACGTGGGTGGAGCCCCAAACAAACAGGTCCGCGATGATGTCGAAGTCGAAGTTCTCGTGGTAGGCGCACATGAAGTCGTCCACGTGCACGATCATCACCGCTCGGAGCTTGTTCTCGGAGTCCACGTAGTAGTAAAAGCAACGGTCAAAACCGTGCTGTCTGAAACCTTTCTCCAACAGCCTCTGGTTCACCTTGCGGTTCCAGACGCGAGGTGCGTCAGGGAGGCCGTACCCGTTCCCCAGGACTTCGTAGAGCTCGGCGGAGAAGGTTCCGGTAGCGGCCACCACTGGGTCTTGTGGAGGCAGCATAAACAGCGGTCCACCACGTTCTTCGCGGTTCTGCTCTCCTTGCAGAAAAGCCGATTTTGCGTCGGCTATCCACAGCAGCCACTTGCCTCTCTCGTTGCAGACCTCTTGGTTTGCCCCGGCTGTCGCACAAGCCAAGACCAAAGCTTCTGAGAGGCGGCTCGGTGTGGGGCTGTCACGGCTGAGCTGAAAAAGGTCAGGGTCAGCACAGCCAATGATGACCACACGGCATTTGGCGCGTAGCTCGCCAATGCCCTTGTTCTTGTCGCGAAAGGCACTGCGGCTGCGCAGAATGCGCTTGGCGAGGGCCCGGTCTTCAAAGACAGCCTTGGCCTCCTTGCGGCTGAGAGGTCTCAGTCCGCCCCAGCGAAGCCAGTTCTCGTGCTCAGTCACGACGGCCTCTTGGTACTTCTCCTGGGCAACCTTGGGGAGCTTTACCACCTCTTTCCCGGGGATCTCCCGGTCCAGCTGCTTGAGCTCCTGCCTCGAAAAGGCACGGTTGTTGGACACCGGGAGACTCTCTTCGTCGGTGGTCTCGTCGGCTCGGCCAGTGTCCTCGAAGATGCCCTGGGCGTTGAGCTCGTCTGTGCGTTGCCGACTGTTCAAGTAGCACGTGTAGAAGGTCTCGGAGGCAAAGGGCAGGCGGGCCTCGTTGATGGTCACGTTCTCGGTGAGCTCCGCCTCACCGAAGTCGTCGTAGTTCAGAAGGTAGGCGCCCGTGGTGTAGAGCGCGTCAGCTGGGCGCTTCATAGGAAGAATCGGCAGCGGGCCTTCCTCAGGAAGTCCATTGCCTGATGTCAAGCCTTGCGGCGGTAGTCCGCTCGCGGTGGAAGCAGCGGGCGCGGGCCCAGAGGCGTTAGAAGAGTCTCTGGCTGTACTTGCACCGGCTGGAGGGAAAACTGCTTCTGGTGGTTGTTGACCAGACTCGTGGTGCATGTCGTGGTCCGCGGTGTCTTGTTGCCCTTCGGAGACCGGGGCTGACGGCGGTAGCTCTGGTAGTGCATGAAGTTCCTCGGCGTCCAGACCAGTGTAGTCGGGTGTTGCTGGCATCCTGGCACTGAACGGTGGTGTTTCAGGCACGCCCGGGCTGAAGGGCAAGGCTCCTGGAGTCACTGGAGCAGGCGTTTCGTCTCCGGCAGGTTGTAGTCCTTGAGGTGTAGGAGCAGCAGGTGCGGGTGACCCTTCTGTCGCTGTGGCCCCCCTCGGTGTACGTGGCAAGCTTTGGGATCTCCTGCTCGGTGTTCGAGATCGGCCCCTCCGATTCCTGGGAGTTGGTGGCACCGGTGACAAAGGGACGTTCATGGTGACGGACCGATTGTCAACGTACTTCTGGTAGACATTGGCATGTTGGACCCCCTGCTGCACGTTTGTCTGATGTTGTTCCTGCTGCACTGTCGTCTGTTGGACCCCCTGCTGCACGTTTGTCTGAGGTTGTTCCTGTTGCACTGTAGTCTGCTGGCTCCTCCTGGGGGTCGGCGGCGTACTTGCTGAGGCGGTCGGGAGTCTCAAAGGAAGAACCACCTCACTGTCGGCCAGCGGAATGCGGGCCAAATCCTTCATCACTTCTTGTTCTTCGCGAGGCGGCTCCTCTCTGGCATCTTCCCACAAGTCTTGCCGGAGATTTTTCTCAGCGTCCTTGAGGATGGCTATGTCCTCGCGGGTTGGCGACCAAGACTCCCACCCACAAGCGGTCCTGATCTGGTTCCCGGCGATCTTGATGGTCGTCGTGTTGATCTGAGCCCAGATGCTTTTCCCGTCCGGGTCCACAGACACAAATCTCGCAAGCGACCAGGCACCACGTTTGTGCTGTCTTGACCTGCCCGACCACCTCCAAAAGGCAATCGGCTGACCTGGTTGTAGTTGATGAAGGTCTTGCTGGTGCCGCGTCTTTCGCAAGAGCGCCCTCTTCAAACTGGTACTCGCTGAGTGTTCGGCGAGGGCCTTCAGCGCGTCAGCTCGCAGCACTTCCGGTCGCAAAGCCTGTTGCTCGGGAGAAATCACCAAGCTCAGAGGATCGCTCAACAGGTCCCCGAGTGGTCGAGGGATCTTGCCGAAAACAGCTTGATAAGGCGACCGGCCGAACGAGTAGGTACTGGCATTCATGGTGTGGGTCGCAGCCGCCAAGCACTGATCGAGGAGGTCGGCGGTGGCAATGCCCTTTTCGTCGATGATGCGCTCGACGATGGAGCGCAACAACGCGTTTCTCCTCTCGATCTTTCCCAGCCTGTGGTGGGCTTCGGCTGGAATCACATCATGAAGCACTCCATGCCTTGTGTGAAATTGAATCACTTCGCCTCCAAACTCTCCGCCGGGATCGCAACGAAACCTCACAGGCAGGCCCAAGGGCCTATACCACAACTCCAAGAGCGTCTTGAGGATCAGTGGAGGGCTCCGGTTTTCAACGATTTTGGCGGTATGGTAAGACGTGGACTCGCAGGTGAGCCCCAAAACGGCATGGTTCGAGCCCTCTATCGTTCTGATATACACAATATCTGCTTGAATAACTTCTCCAAAGAACCCACAGAAGTTCTCGGGCACACCGGAAGGTGGAGGTCGGATCGGCATCTTGGTGCGGATGCATGATCCACACCTAAGGTTGTCTAGGGCCGTGAGGATCCGGGCGTTCAAAGTCCCGGCTGCTGCCATCATGCGTGTCAACTCTGCTTTGGAACTGTGACCCATGTTGACGTGCAATCTAGCTAAAGAGCTCTGCAATTTTTTATACACATTGCCTTCGAACCAGATTTCTGTGTCCAGTCCGGGCACCAGCTGCCGATAGCCATGGCCTTGTCCAGGAAGATCTCCAGCAGGAGGGCGTTCAGGTCCTGGCTCGGCTTCTTCGCCGGTGTTGCCGGGCTTCTCGGTCTCAATCTGCTTCGGGTGGCCGTAGAAGAAGATCGCCACCCTCACAGCACGAATGAACCTCTGCTTCGGGTGGCTGATAGAAGCCAGGTCCTCGGCTTCCAGCTGAAGCTCTCCCGTCGTAAGTCGTAGTGCCGCACCGCGGTGGGTGTAAGGAAACTCCTGGGGCAGCCGGCGGGCTTGTGGCAACCATGCGGCCTGCATCTTAGTCACCTCCCACGGCACGAGGTCGAGCACTGACTTGTGGAGCGGGTCGCCCTTGCTCACGTAGAAGGGCTTCTTGTGGGTGTTCGCGAACTTGGCCTCGAGGTCGTCCAAAAGAAGGTTCCAAGCCTCGGTGTTCGGAATGGGCCGCGCGAACAGCACGTCGTGAGGCTTGTGGTTGAAGCGGCTCGGAAAGGCCCGTCGTGCCTCCTCTTGCAGTCCCTCCAGAATTGCATAAAGGAGGCCGTCGCAGTAGTCGTGGTCGCCGCTCCTGTTGTCGTCACCATTCATCTGGCAGTACATCTGGAGCTCCTCGTTGAGCTTCCGGGTGAGCTTGCCGGCCACGAGCGCAGAGTTCGTGACCCAACGATGTGCTCGGCTTGCGGGCTGGTTGTCCTCGGTTTCGGCACCATAGGCAGCGGCATCGCACTCGTTGGTGGTCACGTCCTTTAGGTGCAGCAGTTCCGTCACCTTTTCGGAGGCTGTCCATGCCGGGGAGAAGGGAGGCGCCTCGCACAGGAACAGCCTGCCACTTTCGCTCTGGTGAACGCAGACTTCTGCACCGACCTTGCACCTCTCTTTGAGCTCGCCCTGCTCTGTGTCGAAGCCGGGCCACTTGATCATCACGAGCAGCGGCTTAAAATGGTAGACGGCCCGCACGGAGTCCTCGAAGTTCAGGGGCTGCAGGACGCTCAAGCCAAAGTCCCGGCACATGGAGATGATGCGGTCCATGCCCACGTTCACCCCAATCAGGTCGATGCGGTGGTCCGAGTGCACCTGCTTATAGACGGGCATCTCCTCGTAGGCGGTGAGCTCGTCATCGTAGATCCTCTGGGTCTGTCGAAGAGACCCTGTTACCCAGATCTGGGTCCCCTGCTTCATACGTCTAGCACCAGGGCCCAGTCGTAGTCGGGCTCGGCTTCTTCGTCCGTGTCGATGGGAATCGTCGGCACTGAAGGTGCGGCGGGCGGTGCCGCCTTGGCTGTCGCCGAAGCCTTGGCCAGCTCGGCCTTGCGTGCTGCCAGCTCTGCCATCATCTTGTCCAGCTCCTCGGCCTCGGTCTGCAGTTTCGCCACCTCGCGCGGGTCGAGCTTTAACGGAGCTTGCTCGGAGGGGGCGCCGAGCACCAAAGAAGCCCTCTCCTTGGCAGTCAGAGCAAGCGGCCGGTCCGGGTCGATGCCCTGGCGGGGCGGCTTCGGGATCACCTTGTCCTCCGGGGCGGCCTTGGCTCCTGGCACCAAGCGGTTCCTTAAAGAAGTCTTCCGGGAGGTCGTAGAAGAGCTCGGGGCCTCCGGAACCAGTTGGGTCGCCCACTTCGGTCTTACCGAAGAAGTGTCCGATGGCTGCGGAAGCGGCAGCTGCTGCGAGTATGGCAGCTCTTCCCAGGCTCCCAGCACGTAGCGCCAACGGGTTCCGCGTGCCAGACATCTGCTGAAACTCCCGTGTTGGTTGCCGCTCCTTGCTATTGACGCGGGAGGGTGCTTGCACGGCTTGGCAATGTCCTCGAGGAGGCTGTTCGTGAGCTGCTGGAGCAATCCACGACCGAGGTCGCAGCCCCAGCCGCACGGTGTTCATCATGAAGCGGATCAGCGTCATCTCTGCGGTGACCAGGTGCTTCACCACAGTGCGCCATGCCTGCAACCACAAAGGAGGCGCTCGGCTCACGTCCATTCACGCAAGTCGCGGTGGGAAAGGCAGGCAGGCGCACCAGTTCCAGGTCTGGGTCACCTTGATCCAGGGCACTGCTCAGAGAAGACCACACTTCACAAGGAGCGGGAAACTCGCAAATGGAGATGCAGATGTGACCGTTAATCTTCACGATGGGCACATCAATGCCGAACACGCTAAAGTGAATGCACCCCTTGGGAAAATCAATCACTGCCTGAAGCTTACGCTCGATCATCGGGAGGCTCAAGAGCAGGGGGATCTCGCAGTTCTCATGCAGCACACTGGCACCGAACAAGCAACATGAAGTCTGGGCACCGTCGAGGGCTACAGGAATGTACGCATGCTCTTTGCTAAACTGCACAGCACCGACACCGAACTGGAAACCCTCTCTCTCCTCAGTCATCTTGGGGTGGAGCTTGTGTTTCTTAAGGGCTGCACTGCGGCGCTCCAGCCACCCCTTGCTGCACACATTCTTTTGGCACGCGGTGTCCAGGACTGCATATCCAGCGAAGTCGCCTGGGCGGGTGACCAAAACATCTGAGACTGCATGTGCCGTCTTGTCCGGCACGGAGCTGCACACAAAAGTTGTGAAGTAGCTGCCGAAGCTTGCTTGCTCGGCCTCGATCTCGGCATCCTCGACGAGGTCGGCTTCCTGGCTGCCCTCAGCCCTCACGATCATCACTTTCGAGCTGCTTCCGGTTCCTTTTCCAGAAGCCTTGGCTTTGGGCTGTGCCTTGGGCTTGGCCATCGGGCAGATGTCGTCGTTCTTCCAGTGGCCGGTCTGGCCGCAGGCAGCGCATGTTGAGCGCTTCTTTCGCTCCTCGATCGAAGCCTTGGGCCCACTGAATTTTCGGCCCAGCTTGACGCCCTGCAGGCGGCGTGCTGTGACGGTCAAGACCCCGGCTGCTTGAAGAACGGCGTCCGCGAGGTCGGTGGCATCCTCCGTGCCGTCGTCGGGCACCAGCTCGTCGTCGTCTTCGGCCTCGCCACCCTCGGGGTTCTCAGCCTCCTGCTCGTCCTCTTCGGGGATCTCGGCCAGGCCTTCCGGAGCATCGTCCTATCCTGCGCCTCGGTGGCTTCCGTCACCAAGGTGTTGTGGCCTTTGCCGCTTCCCTTCGGAGGCGGCCGGCGGGAAAACTTGTCCTTGCCTTTGCCGTTGGGGTCTGGCCGGGCCTCCGGAACATAACGGTTGTGTCCCTGCCCGCCGTGTCCGTCGAACTCCTTGGTAAAAACCACCTGTGGCACCGGGCGGTGGTCTGGAAATTGCAGCTGGGCCGCCTCCTTCACAGCCTCGAAATGGAGGGAGTGCCCAGCACCAATCAAAATCATGCGCTGTTGCTCCGGAGAAAGACGAAGTCGTTCTAGCAACCTCGCGCCCCTGGCCTCGCTGTCGTACATGGGCTCGATGTCGACCCCGCACGCTTGCAGCGCCCTCTCGACGCGGTGGTACCTGTTGCAGAACGCCCGCACGCCTTCGTTGGAGAACCGGGACACTTGCTCGAAGTCGTGCATATATTTGCGTTTCTGGTAAATAGCCCGGGTCTTGAGAGCCGTCCGCAGAGTCGAAAGAATAAACTCTATCCCGTTCTTGTGGTTGATCTTGGCCAGGTCGGCGTTCTCGAGTTCCTCTTCTGCTTCGCCCTTCAGCGAAACGAAGAGGTTCATCGCGGCCTCGTTCGGCGGGAGGTAGCTGCTGACTTGCATTTCCCACACCTTCACCCGCTTCTCCCAGCGATCATACGCACGAAGGTCGTCTCGGGAGTAGTGCCAGGTAGGCGGGGAAGGTGGCATGCCGGAGCGGTAGCGAAGTCCCTGTGAGGGACCTTTCCGGGAATCCCATATGCTTGGGGCTTTCTGCTTCAACCGCAGGTCGCCCAGGTCACGCAGCATCTGATCTCGCCATTCAGGTCCTTCGCCGTCTGGTCCGCCGTGGTCTCCCGGGGCCCCGGCAGCTGCAGAACGGCGAACTTGCGGAGAACGGGGGCCTTCAGGAGAATCGGGCCCAGGAGGAGGTGCAGCAGCCGCAGCAGCCGCCCGCCTTTGTCGGCGGGACATCTTGGGCAGCACGCGCAAGCTGTCCGGGTCCACTGACGGGTCGTTGGTCGCTGCTTCGGACTCAGCACGTCCTTCGCCCCAGGCTTCTTGTTCCCCCTCGGAGTGTCCACGGCGTCGGGCTGATGTCGTCGGCGAGGTCGTCGGCAGGGAACGGGTCGCCTGTGAAGTCGTGGAAGTCGAGGTAGAAGACTGAGAAGAACCATCCGGCTCCTGCCTTGGCCGGGGAACACGGGGAACATAGATCCAGGTGCCCTGCTCGGACTCGCGCCGCGTCGGAGACGAGGAATTGTAGAAGTGGTTGGAGCCGCAGCGGCGGCACCTCCAACACCCCCAGCTTACAGACTCATAGTCCACCTCGTCGCATCGGAGGCATCTCCAAGCAGGCTGCTGGCTATCATGCGCAGTGTCGGGCTCATTCCAGTCACGGTCCACAGCAGCTCTAACATCGGAGGGACCGTGGTGGGCTTCCTCCGAGAGTCCTGGCGGAACCGGCGGTGGGGTCCTCGACGGGCTGCCTCATTGGAACGACTCTCTGAGAGGAAGCTCCCTATCAAAGGCGGTCCAGAATCGTCGGGCAGCATAGGCTCCGCTGCCAACTGACAGCGTTCTGTGCTCGAAGAAAACATGTCTCACAGCTGCAGCGTCGGCGCCATTTTCCGCTGAAGCAAAAGCTAAGGCTCAGTGCGCACCTTCGAACCGCAGCGTCCGGTCGAACCAACTGCTTTGCAAGCACAGGACACACGCAACGAAACTAGGTTTTCACATGTTCAACTGATGTCGCTTTGCGAGGCTTGCGCTAGCCACCAAGATCTTCCTGATCGCCAGTCAACCCGAGACTGGCCTAGTCCTCCTGATTTCAACACACGGGGCAAAGCTGTCTCAGGCTGCCTCTCACTGGTGAAAATGTCAAACCTGGTCAGTATATCACGCAGCGAGCTACCACCCAAACTAGTGGGGTCCATCAGCTCCAGTTGCTGTGTGCATGTATGATTCGCGATATCAGTACTAGGAACTGCTTGTACCATGTAGCCCAGAAAGACATAGTCAGACATAGTCTAGCAGGCGATCGAACTTGTGCGTCCGTGCCTGAACATGTGCAGATCTGCTTCTCAACTGCAGGATCTTGTGCTCCAGGATCGAGGCATCCACCTTCTCCCAAAAGGAAACAAGTGCCAAGTGCTTAAGAGGAAAGCACACATTCATGTCAAGATGTACAGACAGGGCTTCCAACGCGCCATAACTCCTGTTCTCAAACAAACTGTTCCAAATATTCAGATGGCAGGAAGCCTTGGTACGTTGGCACAAAGAACCGCAAACTCTAAATTTCTTTTTAACTGTCTGATGCAGTAGCGACGTTCTTCAATTTCGAAGCTGTCTGCCAATTCCTTGCTTGCGGGTAGCTTGAATGGGTTTTCCATGATCTCGTGTGTTCAAGGACTCGACAGTTTCGATTCCGATCCGGCTATCTTTCAGCTCTTCATCTTCATTTCGGATAGAACTGTATACTGCGCAGGGCACGTCAGCACTACTACTAGCTACTGTGAGTATCAGAAAAATCAATTTCGCAAGTCCACGTTCGAGGCTCCCTGTCAACCTTTGGCTTGCCTTGGCCGTCTCTAGAGCCAGGCGGGATTCCTCCTTCGGCAGCGCGATACAAACATGTCGATAAAAGCGGCAACTAATCTACTCTGCTAGCAGACAGCGCATTCCCCGCCCATCCCCATCTGTCTCCTCTTCACGCTCCGCACGTGCTACCTTGCGACGGGACTCCTGCACCTCCCAATGCTGCGTTTCGCTGAAGCAAGGTGCCAGGGGCCTTCTATCGCCTAACTTCAGTTATCCTGTCGCAGCAATCATGAGGTTTACCCTATAATTACCGGCAAAATCACCGTGGTGAACCGGTATGACAGTGATAGCTCGATGGTTGCATGTGTAGGTAACTTGCCGAGGACTAAAAAGCAGTGCAAGGTCATTGTTCGATTTTCTGCTTCGGCCCTCGGCATGAAACATGAAACTTGCATCCCGGATCCTGCAGCTGCTTCTGCTGTAGAGTGTCCTCCAGAGATTTCAGCGGATGATGCGAGAGCTAATTATAGACGATGGCAGCGGGCATGCTTCGGTAGGTAGTCCTGAGAATCATGGACTTGAGCCCCCGCAAACCACACAAATAGACGTGGAGTGCGATCCGAAGAGTCAGCCGCAAAAGGATCCTTCAGCAACTGCCGAGGCTTAGCATCTCCTGTATCTTACGTGTCGGGATCTCATCTACGGCTCGTGTGGAGAATTTGGAACCCGCTCTGCGCCTTAGCCCTTCCTCTTCCGACCTCCGACCTTGGCCCTACCAAATGGACCCACAACACATCATGCAACGAAGCGATCGCTCGCCTTGTTTAGAACAAAGCACGTGCTGCGCGATTGACACTAGCAACATGTTTGACAATCCCAAGGAGATTGGCTGCATGCCAGAAACCATTTCTGAGAAAGCGGTCTCCTGGAGCTGCCAGACCTCATGATGCAGTGCAGCGGCTGTCTTGGGTCCCGTGGGAAGCAGCGCCCATGAGACTTCATGCATCGACACGAGGCCTCTGCATCGCCGCATGATGCTGCCTGCTCCGGCATTACGCCCATCACCACCTTTCAGCCAGATCAAGCTACACGCGGCCTGCGGATTTATATTGTTTTGCAGCAGAGCCGCAGAAGCACGTAAACGAATGTCTTCTGCCTGCAGGGTGGTGCGGTGGCTAAGCGGAAGAAGATGTGCATGAAAGCAAGACACAACCTCCGTCTGCAAGCTCCCAATTTTCTCATCCAAGATCTTGATCCTTCATGCAAAGCAAAATGCATGAATCGAAGGTCTCCATGAAGCCAGAGAGAAGAGGGAAGGGCCCGGAAGGGGTATCCTCCTCTCCATCCGAACCCGTTCTTTGTCCAAGACCGCCTGGAAGGCTCAGAACGTTGAATTCGCATAGCCCGCAAGCCCAGCCGACCTTGTCTCTCTGCAGTTCAATAACCTCGCGGCTCGTGCTGGCGAAGTTGCTGTGCGAACATTTCAAGTCCTGTCGGCTTCACTCGAAAGGCTCCAAGGGATCCAAGGAGTGTTCCCTTTCTCTCGAGTCCCTCTGACACCTCCAGGGTCGACTCAAGGATGCTCCGTCGGGCCAGTGCTTGCTGATATTGCTCCTTGCTCGAACATCCCCACTCTACAAGAATGTGGAACACTCTGCAGCACTCTGCAGAACAGCCTGAGATACACCACAGCATTTGGTGGGCGGGGCTTGCAGGGATGAGTACAGGAGGGGATGAAAGAAGACTAGCTGCGTCGCTCTTTAGAAGGACCGCAATGGGACGGCCTGTTGCGCCTTGTTTCTTGGTTTTCGGGAGGGTATAGGCTTGTGGAATTCATCCCCATTGCTTGAAAGCCCACCTGTATGTGGGGAGGATGCTGCGAATGTGATCGTAAGCGTCAAAGTGGTGCGCTAATGGTGGTGATGTAGAGATGGTGAAGACGTCTGGATCTGTGAATGTGTTGGTGATGGTTTGGTGGTGCAGTGTTCAGTCGGTTTGGGAAATGGTCCTCGTCATGTATTATGCCGGGGCAGGAGTTCTGATTGTACTTCTTTGATGGTGTGAATGTTAATGTGGTGTTTTTGCAACTGTGTTGACAGGAACCACTTGAATTCCGTTTCGGATGCTGGTACGTGATAGTGTTTGTGCCGTGTTTGTAATGATCGCGTAAGCTTTGTAGCTATGTGCCCATCTTTGGGTAGGATGTTGCTTTTGCCCGAAAAGGCAAGGAATGGTTGGTTAGGGTATAGTTCTGCCAGTTATATGACCACGTGTTAATGATGTATATGCTGCGCTGCGACCTGTTGCGTGACTGTTTGGCATGTGCAGGATATGATGTGCCCGGTGTCCAATCGTTGTGTGCTGCTCTCCAGTTGTGCAGAATCTTCTGAAGTGATGGGTGTTTCTTGTATACCAGCTTTGAATTTATGTTGCTTGTGCTTGGTGAGTCGTTCCTGTAGGAACCGTCGGAGCTCTATAGGAAAGGAAAGGTGCATCATCGGCTGTACAAAGATCGGCTTCTTTGGTTTTGGTGTGCGTAGTCTTCTGAATCTTCTTTTCTTGAACACGGTGCCAGCGCAGCGCGCTTGTCTCTGCGCGGCAAATTGCCTGCAAGCTTGTGTAAGGCGTACACAGTGCTGACCGGTGTCTCCGTTCGTAGAAGCTGTTTTGTGGTGTCGAGGCAGATGCATTTGTTGGGACATAGTTGGGACACTGTTTACCAAGCTCGTTGCTCTGTTGAAATCCCTGGCTGTAGCGGGTAGGTGGCCTCGCCTGAGTTTGGCCCAAAGTGTGCTGGAGCCACTGCGTTTGTTGTTGGCAGCTTTGAAGAAGCCGGAAAAAGCTCCCTTCATGTCATTGCAGATGAAGGGGCAGTTGAGTTTTTGATTGGTGATTTTGTATGTAGGTGTTTTCTTAGTTTCCAATTGTGATGCGGTGGTGTCGATGTGTAGAATGATGGGGATGTCATCGTGGTAGCATTGGTGTTTGTGCCACCATCGCAATGAAAGCTCGGCTTGCACTATTTTGTGTTGTGTCAATTGCTTGTACTTGCGATTGCGTGTGCTTTCTCGTTTGGTCATTGTAGACGAGCTTCTGGAATCTTCGGAGGCCTGTGGCAGCACTTGACGACTCATGTACTCAACCACTCCAGAAGACAAACAAGCCAAGAATCCCGACTTTCACACCAGATACGGAAGAACCTGGGTGAGCAGAGAAGGGGCCCTATATAGTCAACCACACCTGACATGAGTCACCATGTGAAAACAACTAACAAGCACGACCGAGACATCCGTGCTGCTAGGAGTCGCATCTACATCGCCACAGGTTCGTTTGAACATGGGCGAGATAAGTCAGGATTCGATTCCACTCAGGCTTGTGGCCCCAACCCCATCACCCGAGAAGCCAGCAGCATGGAGTCGGCGGGTGAGAGATGATGATGATGATGCTGCTAATAATAATGATGGTGTTCATGATGATGATGATGATGATGGTGGTGATGATGTAGGGCGGGGAACCACACCACAGGGCGGTGCGAGAACCAAAACCAGGCACCGCAGCGCTCTGGGAAACTTTGGCATGGGCACTCCAGGGACACGCTGCTGGATACACTGGGAGCGGACGAGAAAAATAGCTAGATTAAAGTTTGACAAACACCTACACATGGGGTGGGCTAGAAGGCTAGAAGCGATGCCGTGTTCAAGCTATGTGCATGTCCCACATGTTGCCCTGTACGATTCTGAAAGCGTCTGGAGCTGCTCCTGCAGGCCACACACCTCATGCCGGAGTGCCGCTATTTGTTGCTCCGCGCGTGCCTCAGAGCAGGCAGTTGCAGCTTAGCCACCCATTCAACAGATCTGCCCATGCAATGTTGCCTCACATCGTGCAGATTCCCTGGTGTGCCTGGTCATCGGCACGTAGCAGGCGAAGTTGCTCCGC